ACTGGCCCCAGATGGATTTTACCTTAAGTGACTTCCTCATCATTAGTTACAGCTCTGTGTCAGAAATATATATAGCAATTTATACTATATATACTATATATATTAATATCCCTCTTACTGTGCAGAAATGTTTTTACAATTGTCTGCCATTTCAGGGGTTTTTTTCCCCCTGCATTTGTGCTCACAGAAAATAAAACTTAAGAAATTTTGAGTCTTTCTTAGAGATATTGAAATAAACTCAGTATTGTTCTGTTGCCTCAGTTAACTAAGAGCAACTAATTGCAACACAGTAAAGCAGTAGCTTTAGTTTAAAGGAAGAGGATAGATCTATTTCACAAAGGCTTCTTTTGCTTTGCAGTACACATCTGCTTAGGCTGATGTACTGTTCTTAACACTTATAAACAGTCACTGGAGATTTGCTCCCAGTGTAATTTCCCCTATCTCTTGTGGAATATGATATGTGATTTTTAAGACTTTGTTTGCAAATAAGTATATTCTTTATTTAATCATTTGGGTTAAGGAATTTTAAATTTATCATATTTAGTTGGCAGAGGGTTAAGATAAACTATAATATGTAAGTCATTTCTAGTATGGCCAGTTTGACAACTACATTTGAAAATCTGTTTCACTGCTTGTTTTTTCTTATAACACTGTTTCCTGCTGTTATAACTAAGCTGTCCTCCCTACAGTATGACTATTTTCATCTGACATCTTAGACTGATCATGCCGGTGTTTTCCAAACAGCACGTTTATATGGCAATTATGCCTTATTTCTGTTCCTCCCTGTTATATACCCTGTTCCATCGACAGTTCTGTTAGAACAGTGGTTTTGTCATGGTGATGATTTTATGATTGTATGAAATGGGGCACATTTTGAGAAAATGATTGAGCCAGTAGCAGAATTGGTTGGCATATGCTCATATGATTTATTTAGCTTGCTTCCTACTTTGCCATACCAGGGAAGAATTCTATTCTTCCCACTTCTTGAAAGTCAAAGGAGGGATTGGAGGACACTGAAACAAAAGAAACCTTATTTATATCCCCAAAGTAGCTTATATAATATCAGGAAGGGCTTTGATGAAACCACTGGCCCTACTTAAAGATCTTATTTTCCAAGCCTTTCATTATTTTATTTGCCCTTTTCTGAACTCTACAATTTCCCTCTCTTGTAGCTGGTTCGATGCCCAGAACTGAATGCTGTGCTCCAGCTGTGGCCTCACCGGTGCTGAATAGAGAGGAAGAGCCACCTTCATAGCTTACATGTGATTCCTCTGCTTATACAACCCAATACTGGATTTACTTACTTTGGCAAGATAGCTGCATTGTGCACTGTATTTAATGTTACGTGTACTGTAACCCTGGGTCTTTCTCTGCATTGCTGCCGTTAAACCCCCAATCCTGCCAATCTAAAACTCCTGCCTTTGTTTACCTGCCCCATCCCCTACCTCCAGACTCCCCTTACGTTCATCCACAATGAATGTCATCTTTATTCTCTCATTTTCTTTCACTGTAATCTTAAACTTTGGCAAAACTTTCCCTCTGTCTATAAATTGTCAGTTGTCAGCCATCTGATTTTTCTCCCTGCTTTGGTAATGGGACGTCTTTCACGTCTTTCCTGTGGTACTTTTCCTTTCCTAGTCATCGAACATTTGGCACGGTGGATTTACCAAGCATTCACTTGGCATTTCTTCCACATCAAATACCTTTGGACTTCTCTGATCTGACCACCTGGGCAGGTTGTTTCCTATACTTTAGTTCTGTTGAGATGTTTTTGACTTCTATCCTTATAACTTCACTCGGGATATAGTATTATCTCCTAGCTCTTGTCCCAGGGAGGAGACAGTAATACTGATTTACCATGGACATTCCTAACAATAAGGAAAGTGTTCTTCACTGTGACTAGAATAGTCTTTAACAATTTTAAGCAAATTCTTTCCCCTCTGAGATCTTAATTTTTAAAAAAATGCTAGAGCTAAGTGACTATAAATTTCTAAGATGAGTGAGGTAAGGGAAGAAGGAAGAGAAACAAGGTTTTTGTGTTGAACAGGAAATGGTTCTCCAAGGAAGCTGAATTGAGATTCTTGTTGGGTTTGGTACAGCTGTCCAAAATGGGAGGCAAGACTTTGTTTTTCCTAGATTCCAGAGCATTATCTTAATCTAAGATTTACAGTAGGTGTTAAGTTGGTTTATTTAGGACTGTTGACAGAGACACACACAATCACTTAATTATATGCTTTGGTTAATCATGTAGAGTGTGGAAAGTGTAACCTTTTCTGATTGATTATGGATGATAAGAATTGGAAGGTCTCCATATGTCCTTTTTATCCATTTCCAAAGTCCCTCTCATTTATCTAAATACCAGTGTTTCTTATAGTAGCAGTCAAGCTGATGTTTAAGTTCTTGCTTTTTTTTCTTAGTTGATATGTGCTATTTAAACAGCCTCTCCTTGGATCTGTGGTCTTTACTGAATCCAGAAGATACGTCTTTTGTATATTTGTGTCTTGAGAGAGTTAAAATCAATTTGGAAATCTTTCAACACATCAGATACCTATCATATGGATTTAGGAGTTACCAAACATTTTGTTCAGACCCGTAATAGATATTTTACATATCAGCATATTGCACTATTAAAGTGTATTTCAAAAGTACACTACAAAGTAAGAGGTGGCAAGATCTGTTAGGCTTTTTTGATGAAATATAAAATATATTATCTGACTATTCTTCCATATCTAGAACCCTTAGATATTTCTAGTTTCCTTATTCATAATTACACAAGCCAAGTGAAATTTTAAGCTCGATTCGGTGGTTTCAGAGAAAGTAAATCTTTTCTGTGGTTTCCCACCATATATAGTGTCAAAGATTGGTGGCTTTGCTTACGCCTAGGTCACGCCCTAAGTGTGGCCCCTTCCTTCCAAGGAATGTTAGTTTTATTCCCTGACTTCTGAAATAACCCTCCATGACAGATCCAGTTGGGCTCTTTTGTGTGCTGAATGCCTTTCTCTAGGCGGCCAGTAAGTAGTGAGCAGTGGCATGGTTTCCATCTCCATTTATGGCCTTGGAAGGGTGACAGGGACATGGCTGGGACTCGCCATTTACGGTCCTTGGAGGAGCTGAGAAGAGTGGCTGGGGTGTTCTTGGAGGGCAGAAAGTAGACATTGTGAGATAAAAATAAATAGGAGATGTTTGCAATTCAAATTCCAGTCCCTGGGGGGAGGGCTGAGGGCACTGGGAAGGGGAGTGTGTAGGAAGTCAGATGAGATCTGCTGCAGGCATTTGTCTCCTTCCATTGGAAGGGTTGCTCATCACACGTTTCCCAGGTTCATTTCTGATTTCTTCCAGAAAGTTGTGTGTTACGTACTTGTGACTCTCCTTTACAGAGAGAGAGGAGGAACACTAATTAAAGTGTGGCAGAAACCTAAGTTCTTTAAGGCATCATTTGAGGCACCAGAAGAAATCTCCAGAAAGGGAGAATGAGGCAGGCAGGGGATAGGCTGGCTGGGTTTAGGACGGGGTGACTCTAAGTCACTCCTCTGCTTGTGTCAGAGGGAGATCATCATCCGTGTCTTAGGTTTATTATTCCTTTTGCCCATCTGGATTTCTGGCCTCGAGGGACAGATCTGCAAAGTGCTTGACAGAGTGTCTTCCTGTGGTTTATCAACTGCGATTTAAAGGTACTGAACTTCCGAGGAGGCCCGATAAAGATTATTCAGAGTTGTTTTTGTTTGGCGAGAATAGAGGACATATTGGCTTGTGGAGAGTCATCTCACATTCAGGAGGAATTTATAGTCTGGCTAATGTGTGTAAAGTAAGCCTGAGGTGAACTTGTTTGGCACAGCTGAGTTAGAAAGTATTTGGAGCCACCAGAGAAAAAGGGTCTTGTCTGTCAGAAAATCCTCAGAGTAAAACCTAGTAGAGTAGAGAGGAGAGTAGAAGGAGCAAAAGGAGGCAGCGATGGGACAGAGGACGAACGTAACTAAACTAAATTTGGAACTAAGGCACAAGGACTGGGACTAAGTCCTTGATTTATCTTTTGAAATGTCGTGTAAGATAGCATAAGATGCACGGTGAAACTAAGGAAGTCATCAGAAATATGCGTTAGAAGACCACGAAGCAAGTTGAAGGGTTGTGCAAGATAATAAAACTATCCAGGTTTTATCTGTGGATTTGCATAATGATATTTGCTGTGTGCCACAAAAAAGAAGTGAAATAACACCCTTCCACCTCACTTCCCCCGCAAAAGGAAATTATGGGCTTCATTTGTTGGTGTGTTTGGCTGGCAGTTTGAGTTGGTAGAATAGACTAGTATTATCACTGGCGAATTTTTAGATGTAGGTATTAGTGTATTTCTTGATAATTGATGTTTGAGACTGGGAATCTGTAGCATTATCGACTTGATCTCTTTTAAATTTTAGCAACTTCCCCAAAGACAGAGTGAGTTAGTAAAGATTATGGGCTATGTAAGTAACAAGTTTTACCAGCTGATTTGTTTAGGCAATTGTTTTTACCCTGTATTCCTTCTTAATCAAGGGTAAGGAAGGTTATATTCTTTGCTTTGGGAAATTCTTCTTTCTGTCCTCCCTCCCCTCACTTTTTCCAAATTCTGGGCACAAATAGCAGCTCTTTCTTTTCTGTGGCAGGTGTGCATCCTATTGGCTGGCTGGTTTTTTTTGTTTTCCTTTTTTTTTTTTTTTCTTACTCTTTTAAAATGGGGGTGGGGGTGTACAACTACGTGTATGGGACACATGCAATAATGTTGTAATGTTTCTTGTTGTTTAATGGATAATTAATTGCAAAGTAATTGTTTGAATTATAACATGTTTGAGTAAATGCTAAATTAGTATTTTTTTCTAATATAATCATGAATTTAAAATCTAGCATTCCTGTAACAATGTGTCTGTGTTTGTCTGTCTGTGTCTGTCTAATAGTAATTAATATCTGTGGTCCGTACCTGGAAGAGGAAGTACAGCTTTAAAGGAATAACAAAAGACTTTGTGTCTTAGACCCTTCGCAGGTGTTACAGTCGGGTGAAAGAACATGGTGTTGGGAAAAGAAAGAGCAGTTACACATTTGAACAGTTGGAACAGGTGTTTGGTCAGGGAGGATGGGATGCTCAGCCCTGCCAGCCTGTACTTATTAACAGTAGTGGCTTGTACCAGGAGCTGGAGTCAGATGGCAGCACTATGGAGGAGTATTCACAGGAGGACTGGGGAAACCACAGTCAGGATCTCCACGGCTATCCAACAGATCAGGAATTGGGTAAGAGAGCCAGTATCTATGTTACTTGTGTGTGTGTGCGCGCACGCGCGTGCACGTGCATATACGTATCTTTATATGTGCACAGGTGCTTAATATCTGTAATATCTTCTCATACCATATTCCCACTGACAGCACAACGCATATTGCCAGTCTATTGGGGGCAATTTGGGCATCCTTAAACTACCAGCCTAGTGCTTAGTGACTTGGGTTCCACAGAATTCCTAAAGACACAGAAGAATTCCTAATTCTGAGCTGCACAAGGAAGCTCAGTGACAGGCTATGCAATTAAAAATATCCTGCACCTCTTAGTTCTAAGATGACTGCTGAGAGTGTTGACTCTTGGCTCGACTGGTATAGATATAACTGTCTTTTCCTTCCTTTATCCCCAATACTTTTATTTTTCCTGTTTGTGATTTGCAAAAGGTCCCTTTCCAGGCTTCAGTCTGAACAACCAATGAAGGGAAGCCTTGGTTTGAAAGGAGCTGATACTTGAACATTATCAGGGATCATACTCCTTCAAACTCTGTAAAGGATCCCATCCCAACAGTAGCTGGAATGATTTGTTCCCAGTCTTCACATTAAAAATGGAAAACAAAACTCCTGGCCATCAAATCTAAACTTGTGTGGACTAATTAAGAGGATATATGTAGTTGTTTTTCTTTTTTCTTTTCCGTAAATGCTCCAATTTTAGTTTTCATAATTTGCAAGTACTAATCAGGTTTCTGCTGCAACCTTTGTACATTCATAGCAAGTTGTGTAATGAGTGCTCACTTATAAGTAAATGTTCTCACTCTCCAGTGAAATACTCAGGTAGCCCCCAAGGAAGGATAAGTGGGGTTGGTACTATAAATGTGCCTCCCTAGCTTAAGACAGAAGCCAATGGGCACTATTTTACAGAACTCCTGATGATAGAGAAATGCTTAATTCGAAAGAAAAAGGATTAAATGTTAATATTTTTTGTGAATGCTGTGTCTAAAGAAATCTCTCAAATATCAGAAGAGAGAGGGAGCGAAGAAAGAGGTTATAAAACTGTAAGACTAACACAATGTAAGAGAGAGAATTGATGACTAGAAAAATAAACGGGGCAGATGCTAAGTGATCACTACCTCTTAATTTCAAAACGGTACTAAGGTCCAAATTACTGTGGCATCCTCTCACTCTGGTTTTGCTGGAGAGAGTTAATTCACCTAAACCTTTGGGAAAAAAATGACATGCATAGTATATATTGATCCTGATATTAGGGGAATAATTACTCTCTAAAATCTACGTAGAAAGTCTAAATAGAACAGAATTATTTTCATTCTCGTTCCTTTAAAAATCATGTTTGCCATGAAATTAAGCTTTAAGCTCCTAGCTAGAAATCCACTGGTGACCTTGAAGAATTTTATACTTGTAGAGCTGGTTTCTGATCTTGCATATAAATGTATCCATCTCATTATGTAAGAGTTATATTTATAAATCTGGCATCGGACAGTGTTTGACACTAGAATTAAGTTCTCGCATTGGAAAGTATGGAACAAACAGTAGACATATAGCTACTTAGCTACATAAATGTATGCCACCACTTAGGAAAATATAACTTTTTTCAAAACCTCTGTTTTTCAGATGAAATACCTGTCACAAAGAGAACATTAAAAATAAAACAAGAGTCTTCTGAAGAAGCACAGTAAGTAGATGTTTCACCTTTCTACAAAGTGTATTTACCTAAGTTTAATGACAGAAGTCTTGCTGTAATGAAGCATGCTATGAGAGTTACAGCCATGCCGCTGAGAGAGCATGTCTAGTTGTTCTTCCTCCTCTTTTTAGCCTAAGTTTTCCAGTGGTTAATCCAAAATGTTGAGAATGTTGTATACAACAAGAAGAAATAAATATATGAAAATAAGCATGTTTATGGTATTTTCCTGTGTGTGGATGTGGTATTTGGATGTTTAAATATGATACAGAGATAAGTCACAGGGCCCAGAGTTTGTCTGGGGTTAAGTGAAATGATAGGAGGGCCAGAGGGACACTTAAATTCCTTATAATATTCCATTTGGGGGCTCAAAAAGCAAGTGCTTAGGAACTACAGGGGAGGCCCAATTGACGTAACTAGGGATGAACTCAAGCTTCACAGAATTGGTGTCACCAATCTCAGACCCCCTGAACTTTTCCCATGGTTGGAACGTCAGAAATACAACAGGCAGTTCTTAGGAACTGTTTAAATAACTGGATCTAGGTCTCATTGTGCTCCATAGCTGTGAAAAGCTCATCTGAGGCTTGAGCCCAGGGAGCTTCAGGCCGAGATCAGATCAGTGGGGCAGGAAACTGACAGGCTCTGCAGAAATGTCCTGTGTGGCTGCCTCATCTCCAGGTTCCAGCTCACAGGGTGAGAGGGTTCTAAGAGGCAGTTCATTTCCCAGTGCAACAGTTTCCTCACAACTATTCCTTATTGATGATTTAGGGCTATGACAGTGCTGAATAAAATAACTTCATTTGGGCACGGGATCTTTTCACTCTAGGTTTAGGTGGGATTAGCCTGGACTAGCTGATATAGACTGTAGTCAGATATACCATCCTTCACCCACAAAGAAGAGTCACCACTTATTTATCAAATACCTACTGTATGTCAGGCATAGGAGTACAGCAGTGAGCAAAACAGACAAAAAGCTCTGCCGTCCATCCCACCTCCATAGCTGAGTCCTCCTTGAGATCAGTAAAATATTTAAAAAGAGGACAGGAAGAATGGTAGCTATGAAAGATAATTTTTCTTTAAAGCATTGACCCATGCAGAAACATAGTCCTATGTCTTAGCCTCACAAGCACCACAATCTAAATATTAGAAAAGTGATCGAGTGCCTTTGTGTACTCTGAGAAGAGAAACAATCTCCAGAAATGCAATGATTTCATCCTGATGGCCACTTAGATACTTGAGTAGCTTTGAAGACAAACTAAAGTGTGGAGGATAAGTCCAGGGCAGTCTTTGGTTCAAGAAGCAACTGACAGCAAAACATTAGCTCTTTGCCATCTTGAAAAGAAAATCAAGGAAAGTAAGAGAGAATGACTATGTGGAAGATTCCCCAGTTTGTTCCAAAAGTTCTTCCAGAAGGTGTGAGAATTTAAGAATAAAGTTTCCAGGATCTGTCTCCTTCCAAGAAGCTGTTAGCAAACCACCATTACACCCTCTTTTCTTGCCTGTGTTTGATTGTGAGTGTGGTAGTTGAGTATTTTTGTAGCTTAAACCTATGATTGATGTCGAGTGTAATTGTTTGTTGCTTAGTTGATATTTAACAAACCTCAGTCTTCCAATATCAAAGTTGTACCCTACCTGAGAAACAAATATCCTCATGTAAATGTACGAATCATCAGGAAGTATCCGTTGGAATTACATGAATTAAGCAGCGTGTGAAACAAGAATTTCCCTGTACTTTGTCTTCTTCGGTTAACTGTCCAAATCAAAATTGAAATAATTTCTATACTTTTGCTTCCCTTTATAAAATACATTTTAGAAAAATCTCAATTTATTTTCTGGAATTTTTTTTCTCTTAAAACTGAAGCTTAATAATGGAACTTTTTCATCTGAATTCTCAGATCTTAATTCTGTGCTAAACTGACAGTTCTTTTAAATTTGGGGATAGTAATATATTTCAGACAAATAGAAGAAAATGTCCTTTTTTCATGTTTTTGTATCAGATCAATAGTCATAATCAGTTGTATATTTTCCTGTGGCCAGCATGTATGGGCCAAACTTATTGAACTTTCAGAATTTCCAGGTTAGAAATTAATGTGTTCATTCTTTTAAGTGATACCTACTGGTTACTTTTCTGAATACAGCATCCGTCACCTGCTTTTGGTAGTTAGGTCTGAAGGTCATCATATGCACTATAATAGCCACTTTAAAAAGTACATGATCCTTGGTTTCTGAAATCCTAGGGTCTTACATATCGATAGTTACTAAGTGGAATACAGCCAGACTTCAGAAGTAATGGAAAGCAGTTTTTCACTAGTTCCTAGGAACTTCCTAAGGGTGAGCACGTCTCAGATTTTAATACTATGATTATCTAGACTTGCACAGTCCAATATGGTAGCCACTCGTCACCTATGGCTATTTAAATGTAATTTAAAATTAATTAAAAACTTAATACCTCACTCACACTAGCCACATCTTAAGTGCAATGGCTAACGTATTGGACAGCACAGACGCAGGACATTTCCACCATTGCAGAAAGTTCTACTGGACAGTGCTCATCTAGATGCCTGAAGAATCTGACTTTCATTTCTCTTTCCAGGAAAAGAGACATCATGCAGAATATCATACAGATTTTGGAATCAGTACAGTTGAAATGGGAACTGTTTCAGAGCTGGACAGACTTTTCAAGGCTTCATCTTTCTAATAAACTGGCCATTTTTGGAATTGGTTATAACACCCGTTGGAAAGAGGATATCCGTTACCATTATGCTGAGATCAGCTCCCAGGTGCCCCTTGGCAAGCGACTCCGGGAGTACTTCAATTCTGAGAAGCCTGAGGGACGGATCATCATGACCCGAGTGCAGAAAATGAACTGGAAGAATGTTTACTACAAGTTTTTGGAGATCACTATTAGTGAAGCACGCTGCCTGGAGCTGCACATGGAAATTGACTGGATACCCATTGCCCACTCCAAACCAACTGGTGGGAACGTTGTTCAGTATTTATTGCCAGGAGGCATTCCCAAAAGCCCAGGCCTTTATGCCATTGGCTACGAAGAGTGTATTGAGAGGCCCCCCTCACCCCACATGGAGCGACATTCCCTGGACCCAGGAAAGGAGGGCCGGGTTGACTTGGAAACCCTTTCAGCACAAGCCTCACTACAGGTGGAAATAGAACCTACCCGAATTATCTATTGCTACCTCGGGATCGCTGAGGTCAGGACTCTGCAGCAATGCTTATTTTTACATTTCCAAGCAAATACCAAAACCTTCAGCAAAGATTGGGTCGGTATTAATGGGTTTTTGTCTCAGAACTGTATTGTGGATCCTGGAGTTTCCCCCAAATCCATCTATATCAAATTTGTAGAAGTGGAGAGGGATTTTCTTTCCGCTGGCTCTTTAGTTGAGTGCCTGGAAAAAGCCATTGGCTACCCCTTAAAATTTAACAACTGAATGTCATCCTTCATAAGGATTTGGGCTCTTACCTCTCTCTTCTCTACTCACACCCTGTTACCCAGACTGTCCCTCATCCAGATGCTGCCATCAGACTTCATGGAAACTCCTTCCACGATCGGGCCAGTACAACTAAGAAATCATAGTAGACTTTGGGCAGAAAAAACAGACCTCACCTGAAAATGCTCATTTTGAGCCAGCAAGCTATACAGTGGACTTGCATGGTGGGTCAGTTGTTTCTTTTTTAAAAACAATTTTTAAATGAATTTTAGAGCCCTGATGTAAACAAATGTAGGTACATTCCATATTGGACAAAACTTATACTTTGAGTTTCATATGAAATTGAAAAATTGTATTTTTTTCATGATGTTTCATTTTTACACATCTCTATGTCTCTATATAAGTATTATTTACAACCTTGAATAAATAAGCAATAGATAATGGCAAGTTAAATCTTGAGTCACAGTAAATAAGACTGTTTTTCAATATTACCCTTAGCTACTATTGTATATAATTTAGAGTTTCATTTTTTTCACCAATCAAGTGTTTTGCTATTCCCAATCAGTGTTGCCTGCAAAGACCTTTGTTTCTGTGATGTACCAACTTTATGGTTGTGCTGCCATTTAAACTTTTTAAAAAAAAATCATTAAAGTAATTCCTGGCCTCTTGGCGTACTAGTGGAGCTTTTTGTAGCAGAGTGTGGTCGCACTGGCAGTGGGACTGTGCTCTGACTTTACTGCTAGGGATGAACACAGCAGAGTAGGGCAGCTTCACTTCCTTTCACTCTCTGTACCCCACTGACCAATGTCATTATCTCTTGTCAGCGTAACAAAGGTCATTGGACATTTCATTTTGTGCTACTTTTTAAAAAGCTACAAAAGGATATTCCTTTTGGCCCTAAGTACGTGAATTTGTAAGAGACTCTCATTCCTCATCTTTACACTCAGTAATCAGGGGCAGCTCTCTCAGGAGCACCGGTGGAGAATTGATGTCATCATACTTCCTGTAAAAAAGGAGAGAAGATCTAATGGAAACATCCAAACAAAAATTTTAAGTGATCCATAGGATAGGAAACTATAAGGTATCAGTCCATTAGGAGGGTGACTATCACGTTTAGATCTTTCAGTGATTTCTGTGGGTCAACTAGCACTCCAGTTGGAGGTTAGTACTTTTGGCTAAGAACTGCCTTACTAGTGGAGTAGTCGAGGGTCACTTTGGTCTCACAGGGACTTGTTAGATTGGTTATTTATCTTTAATGATTCTCCCAGCATCTCTCGGGTACTCTACTTTAAATGGACTGCAAATCCAGGTAAGAGCTATAATTCTCCCCGTTTTTCTGTACTATTGAAGATAAAATTGCATATTGATTAAAAAAAATGTTCTTTCCTGCAACCTGAGTTGTCTTAAATCAGTGGTTTTTCTCATTCTGATACCTCTTGGTTGGTTGATGCTTATTTATTTTTCTAGTGACTAGAGAGCTTATAACCAATGGGATGGCTTTTATTAATGTCATTTGAGTCTAGGTTTATGGAGTTGGCTGTTTGCTGATGTGAGTTGCTAAAAGTGCATGCTAGTTCATGGAGAGTATAAGTAAATATCCTGGAATGTTTGAGTGCAGCACCTCTTTTCCCTGGGCACAGGCTGCAGGTATGGGCTTTAGGAAATTCTCATGAGTTTGCTCTTCTTTGGAACTTGGAATTATAGTCCTAAAGACCGAGGCTTCATTGACCATTTTGTAGCAATAATCTCATAATATTAGTGCCAAGTGCTGCAGGAAAAAGCATCATCACCAGGAGTAGTACATGGCATCCCCCAAACTTTGCCACTGATCAGCCCTAAGACTAACATTATGCTTCATTCATTTCTTCCCCCTATCCCGCTTTTCACTGCTATTAGTTACTTAGCAGGGGCAGAACATTTGGGAACATTTAGTGAGGATGTCTGAGATCTACCTAACATTACTGAGAATAGGGCATTGCTAGACCACTGTGAGCAGCGCAGAGTGTGTGGCAAAGCCTGATCCAATATGTGTTTTCACCATGTGGCTTGGGATGGGTGAGGGGTAGGGGCAAGAGGACAAAGCTGAGCACTGGGAGATGGAGACTTGGAAAGAAAGTACCTCGCTGATACTGAATATCCATTCTCTTTGGCCAGAACAATCTAGAAAAGAGGACAGCAGGGTGTCAGATAACTATATGAGCATTTCTAAAACCAAAAAGACTATTTAGACCTTAATGAAGCCTTATAACTGATTCCAGGAGGATGGAGACACTACATTCAAATGTTAAGAATCAGCATTAAAAAATACTATAGAGATAAAAGATGAGGTATGACTGGGAGAAACACTAGTGAGCTGCAAGTCTCTTAACATATGAAACTATGAACTTAGCTCTTGCACACAACCTGTTTATTCAGGTCACTCACAGATCATCCGCACTAACATTCCCATTTTACACAAGAGTAGAGAGCAATGTTCACCCTAAACTGCATCTCAGCAAAAACTTCCAGAAAGTAATAGAACTGCTCTGCTAACTTCTACCACTTGACTGCCTCAGGGTCAGCAGAAAAGAAGTGGCTGGAGTAGGAGATAGTATAGAAAATTCTTTGGGTGAGAGCAGTGAAAGAATCCTGAAGGGACTGTTTCAGTGTCACATGGAGAGAGTCACTGCCTACAAATCTTTATTTGTATCTTTACTTCTGATGTTGTAAATTATTTGGGGTGCAAATTCTGGAAAGTTAGCTACTGAGAGTGAATGTTGAGGCCCTCCCTGCCTTATGTAGCACTTGATAGGGATGAGCACAGCACCTGTAATCAGATGCTTTGGTGCTCCTGGGATACAACCAAGAGCATTGTACTGCTGTTTTTGGAAGGAATTACTTATTTGGGGTAACGTAGGCCTGACCTGGAAATAAAGGAGGGATGTTTTCTGTTTGTTTTTGCGGTGTGTGGGCCTCTCACTGTGTGGCCTCTCCCGTTGCAGAGCACAGGCTCTGGACGTGCAGGCTTAGCGGCCATGGCACACGGGCCCAGCCGCTTCGCGGCATGTGGGATCTTCCCGGACCGGAGCATGAACCCGTGTCCCCTGCGTCCGCAGGCGGACTCTCAACCACTGTGCCACCAGGGAAGCCCAAAGGAGGGATGTTTACAAGAGGTGCTTTGCACTGAAGACCAAAGTAAAAAAAAAAAAAAGAAAAGTATGATAGACTAGACAAACCAAACCAACAGCACCCTCCCCCCCATACACACACACACACAATCTACTTGACAATTCCAAGTTTGTAGGTCCCTGCATAAGGATATGAGACTAGCAGTTACCTATTCCTGTTGCCTTTGCTGTCACTGAGCTGCCAAGTACTTGATTCCAGGGGTTGCATAGCCCCTAGTCTAGTGTTTGCATAGCCATTTCTCAAAGCCACTGCATGGCAGGTATTTAAAGAGCAGCCAGGCAGGTCACACTAGGAAGAAGCAGCTGAGAGGGTCTATGGGGCGCTGTGTAGAAAGAGACCTTGGGCAGCGCAGGCTCAAAGACCACATTCAGTGTTAAAACAGAGCAGGGCCGTGTGGAGTAAATGGAATCCAGGAGGCCTGGCTGCTTTTCTACCCAGTCAACTGTCACCTAGAGCAGGCAGCGCCAGGGATTCGTTGTTATGCTTTCTGTCCTCGGTGACCTTTGCTCGGTGGTTGAGCCGTGCCGGGATGTTTGAAGCATCTTTTTTTGGTTTGTTTTTTTAACATCTTTATTGGGGTATAATTGCTTTACAATGGTGTGTTAGTTTCTGCTTTATAACAAAGTGAATCAGTTATACATATACATATGTTCCCATATCCCCTCCCTCTTGCGTCTCCCTCCCTCCCACACTCCCTATCCCACCCCTCTAGATGGTCACAAAGCACCGAGCTGATCTCCCTGTGCTATGCGGCTGCTTCCCACTACCTATCTACCTTACGTTTGGTAGTGTATATATGTCCATGCCTCTCTCTCGCTTTGTCACAGCTCACCCTTCCCCCTCCCCATATCCTCAAGTCTGTTCTCCAGTAGGTCTGTGTCTTTATTCCTGTCTTACCCGTAGGTTCTTCATGACATTTTTTTCCTTAAATTCCATATATATGTGTTAGCATACGGTATTTGTCTTTCTCTTTTTGACTTACGTCACTCTGTATGACAGACTCTAGGTCTATCCACCTCATTACAAACAGCTCAATTTCGTTTCTTTTTATGGCTGAGTAATCTTTATTTTGGCTGTCCGACCGAGAAGCCAGAACTGGTACGTGCCCTTCTGTAAGAGAGCTGCGGCCGCCAGAGGGCGCAGAGGTGCCTGTGACCGGCTGGCGCGGGGAGGGACGGTTAAATTAAATTTCACCCCGAACATGATCTAGTCCCGGGAATTAAAAGGATCAGAGCGGGCCTGAGGAGGGACGGGAGGCAGCGAAGACATGGGGATAAATAAATGGAGGGACTTGGTCCAGTCTACCTTCCCGCAGCTGCCCCCTCCTCCCCAGTCTGCATAAGGCAAAAGCCTTATGAGTTAAGCGGGGAACCGGGATCTTGTTTCCTCAGTTTCCTGCTCAGCTCCTGGGGTTTCCTTGCGCCAGTCACTTCCCTGCTCGGGTTTGCGGCGCAAGCTCCGGGTGACCCTCGGGCCTTGGTTATAGGGAGTCTCCGAGAACCTGCTGAGAGGCCCCGTCTTCTCCGGCCACAGGTGAACACGGTCCTCGGGTCCACCGCCGGCGCATCCTCCACCGCCGCCTCGGGGCCACGCGGCACGTGCAGGGGTGGGCGTGGCTGCCTCCCTTCCTGAGCCTCTCTCCCTGCCCGCTCCCGCGGCCCAACCGCCCCTGGCCCTGGGAAATTGGTAGTTTCGGGCAGCAGAACCGGGCCCGCGCGGCCGGCACTCTGGACCTTTCCTGCCGCCTCAAGCCCCACACTGCGGAGCCCCAGTGGCCCCGGGAAAACGCGGCTCCCCTCCTCCCCGCTTAGGCTGAGGACGCGTTACCCCCAAGCTCGGAGCCGGCTGGTCGGGCGGGAGCCCCGGCCGCTTAGGGTGTCGGGTGCGAGGGGCCCCTGGACGTCGGATAATCCCTAAACCTCCCTTCCTTCCTGGCCCTCCTTCCTACCCCACTTAGCGGAGGGGGAAGGCTATGGCGTAGTCTGAGAGTTAGGGCTCTTCTCTTCTGCCCTTGCCCCCGGCCGGCTGTGAGGGCGCCACGACTCACCCGACCCCACCCTGCGTCTTGACCCGGTGGAGGCCGCGGGAGCCGGCC